TGTTGCAGTCTTTCAAATACTTGTTTGAGGATTTTCACATGTTCTTGAAGTGAAGTCGAAAATATGATGATGTCATCCATATATACAAGACATATTTTGTTTTGCAATCCAGATAACACATTATCCATCGCTCGTTGAAAGGTTGCTGGTGCATTTTTAAGTCCGAATGGCATTCGAGTAAACTCATAGTGTCCATATTCAACATTAAATGCCGTCTTAGGTATAGAGTTGGGGTGCATCTCTACTTGATGGAATCCAGATGCGAGATCCAATGTTGTGAAATAATTGCTTCGTCCTAATTTATCCAGTAAATCTGAAATGTTCGGTATTGGGTACCTATCGTCAATAGTTTTCTCGTTGACTTTGCGATAATCCACTACCATTCTCCATTTCTGTATGCCAGAAGCATCTTTCTTTTTTGGCACTATCCATACTGGTGAGGACCATGGGCTGCACGAGGGTTGAATTATATGTTCATCCAACATTTTTTTTATTTGTTGGTTAATCTCGTTTTTATGTATATGAGGATACCTATAAGTTTTTGTATGGACGGGTATTTCATCTGACGTTCTGATTTCATGTTTAACCTGATTCGTGAAGGTTAACTTATCATCGGGTTTATGAAAAATCTCCGGAAATGCCCGTACTACATTCTGTAATGCATTTAATTCCTCTTTATTTAAATGCTGAGTACGTAAAAATTCTATTGGATTATTATCATATTCATGTGGGTAAAACGACGTTACTTGTTCTATATTAAATGTCTCAAAAGCTTCTTCATTATAAATAAAACTTGCTTCTGCTAGGTCATCTATATGCGTAGTAAGAACAAAAGGTTTATCTGTTAGATTATGCACTTCTAACAAAGCTGTTCCATTTATAACCTTAGCTATTGTTTCTGGTATCATGTATTTATCCGTTTTCACTTGAGGTATTAAAATCTCAGTATTTTCAAGGATGTCTGTATTAAAATGACAAAGTTGAATAGTTTTTGCTGAAATTTCTAAATTTTGGGTATCAAAGTCTGTTCTAAATTGAAATGGAATTGTTATTTCTTCATTACTAAGGCACATATTTGTAAAGTCAATATTTAAATTATTTTCTTGTAAAGCTTTAATTCCTATAATACCGTCAAAATAATCATGAAAATTATACATTATCATGTCAATATCCTGATCAATATTAAATTCATGTAAAATTGGAATTCTCACTTTACCATGGGCTTTTCTTGTTCCCATACATGTAGTAAGTTTATTTAAAGAGTTCACTATGAAATCTGGGAAGTATTCTTCCGCTATTGAAGGTCTTATTAATGAAGCATAACTACCTGTGTCTATTAAAAGCTTACAAGGTGGATCGAAAGTTTCAATAAAAGGTAGTTGATTGACTTGGTATGCATTTAAAGTCAATGCTGATTGTTGGATTCCAAGGCTAGTGTCTGAAAATTTTCATCAGGGCTTTCTTGGTAATCTTGACTTATTTGATCGTCATTTATTTCTGAGTTTTCGGGTATTTCTCCGAATTCTGAACTTTCATAGTTCTCAGAAGTTTCGTCTGGTTCTTGTAATTGAATTCCATATATATTATTTATTTCCTCAATGGTGTATTTTGAAGGACCTGCATTGGGATCTGGTCGAAAATAATTTGATTGTTGGGGTTGAAAACCTCTTGAAAAATTTCGTCTATTAATTTGGGAATCTTGTCTTCTTGGTTGAATAGATACACCAGACATAGGTGTCGGTTTTGTTAAGGGAAGGTTATTGTTTGGTTTAAAAACATTTGTTTTGTTGTAATTTTTACCAAACGTACCCGAACTAGTAGGGAATTTATGGGTTATTGCTTTTGTCTGTAAGTTTATTGGTTGTGAAGGAAATTGTGGCTTCACATGGAAATACGGGTTTTTTTGTCTTTGTTGTTGTTGTGTATTGTTTTGTTGGTGTTGAAATGTTTGGTTATTTTTTGTCTTAAAATTCGAAAAGGAATTATTTTGATTTTTGTTAAATTTCATATGATTCTCAGCCATCTGATAGTTTAGTACAAAAGATGTTGCTGCGTCTGATGTTATAGGATTCTGAACCATTAAGATTGTTCTAAGCTCAACTGGTGAATTTGTTATCAAATTCTGTACTGCTGTAACTTCATTTTGAGCTACAAGAATATTTGCAACTGCTAACAAATTACTGTCACACATTATTTTTGAAGTAATTCTGTGATTAAGAGCTTTCAATCTTTCTAAATATTCATAAATTGATTCCTTTTGGTTTCTTGATGCATACATTAATTCTTGAATCAAATTTTGACGAGAATAAGGATCTCCATATTTAATTCTTAGAGCTCCTTTAATATCTAACCATGATTTTAAATCTGGACGTGTCATCAAAAAATTTCCAGCATCATTGATAAGCTTTGATTTTATCGCAGTTATTACATATTCTTTTTGGGCAGGATCCCCTACATAATAAGTGTGATAAAATTCATCAATATTACTAATGAAATACTCCAGATATTGAGTTTCGCCACCAAAAGGCTTCAAAAGTTGAACTATGGATTTCAAATTTTCACCCATGTTTCTGTTTTGTCTTGTTGATTGAATATTAGGTCTTAATTGATATAATTGACTTAGATATTTTTCAGTATCTGATTCAGATTCAGACATAAAAGAAAACTTTAATTAAACAAGTTTTATTTTAGAATTAAAAATTAAAATTTAAAATAATAGGAATAAAGAATGTTTTATCCAAAAATAAAAAGTAGATTTTCTTGAAAAAAAAATAGGTTAAAACCTTTGCAAAAGAATTCAAGAAAAATCCAAAAATAACTCTTAAATATGAAACACCAATAACAAAATATTAGGGAAAGGTTTACTTACTAGGCTCGATGCTAATAACAGTAACACTCTCACTATTTATACGTTGGTTCTCAATGTCTCTTATGTCCAGTTAACACCAAGTGAAGTGGACAGGAATTTCCTCAAATTTCACTCCAATGATCACTGTAATCCAGGTTTCACTGCAATCCAATTTTCACTGTAATCCAAGTTATCACTTATAGATTCAGTTCGATTGTCTTTAGTAATTCGCGGGTCACGATCTCGAAATTCGGAAAAACTTGTGCACTCTGAACATCCGGTTTTTTACGAAAAAAACTGTAAAAATTATCCGCACGACTGCGCCAATTAAGTTTCAAATAAGAAACTTTACTTTTTTAAAAACTTTATTTTAATTAAAAGTAAAAGTAAAGTAACATATGAAGACTGGTGGAACTAGTTGCTGCTGCAAAGCATGAAAGCAAAAGAACAATTGTGCATGGCTGCACCGCTTTTTATAAACAATAAATGCAAGTTAGCAATATTCACTAAAAACGTCAACAATTGTGATGTCATCGTAGGCGAGCAATTGGTATGCTTCTTAAAACAATAGATTGATTGACTAATTTAACATTAGTCGATATGGGAATCGTTCAATATAACTAGCGTGTATAGATCTATCATTATTTATATTATTTTATTTTTTTATTTGTTTTTTATTTCATTTTATTCACCTTAGATTTATAATGTAAATGTAGCTTTGTCACAATATTGAATCATAATAATAGTAAAAAATATAGTGATAATAAAAAAATAATAGTAGGTACTTAATAATAAAAAATTAACAATAATAACATCAAGTATTTCAATAAACTTAGTATATAAACAGTCGCAACAATTATTATATAACATAGAGCAACTAAATCGCGTTGACGTAGAGAGACATAGTATTAAACATTCACATTTACATTTTTATTCATAAAGTCACTAAAGGAATAGAAACAATTTTCGCAGAGAAATTGCTTCAATTTAACTTTGAATCTTTTTTTAGTTTGTTCAGTTTTTATTTCTCCTGGTAGTCTATTGAAGACCTTTATACATGCATATTGAGGAGACTTCTCAAATAAAGCAGTGCTATGTCGTGGAGGGCTAAGTTCGTTGCTTCTCCTGGTAGAATATAGATGATTTTCTACATTTTTTAGAAATCTATCTTTGTTTTTATATACATATATCGCACACTTATATACAGGGTGTCCCAAAAAGATACCGACAAACTTTAAGGGGTAGTAGGGGACATCAAAACAAGCATTTTTGTTTATATAAACATATGTCCGCAAATGAGCCATTTGGGCTGTGGAGCAAAAAAACTGTTTGGTATCTAGTTTCATTCTTTGCAATAATTAAATCACTGTTTACTTATCAATTTTGCTTTAATAGCAAATAAATTATGGTTTACAATAATTGTTCAACTCGCGAACTCTTTGGAATATTCCGGGAATAGCTTCTACATGGGTACAACTCGCCAGTATCCTTGCTATCAGATCTTCCTCATTACGAACAGGTGTTTCGTAGACTAAACTTTTCAGTCAATGACCCGACGGTGTAATCTTTGCATTGAAGTAAATGGTCAACATTTTGAACAATTATTGTAAACCATAATTTATTTGATAATAAAGCAAAATTAATAAGTAAACAGTGATTTAATTATTGTGAAGAATAAAAGTATCAAACAGTTGTTTTGCTCTACAGCCCAAATGGCTCATTTGCGGACATATGTTTATATAAACAAAAATGCTTGTTTTGATGTCCCCTACTACCCCTTAAAGTTTGTCGGTATCTTTTCGGGACACCCGTATATAGATGGACGGAAGAGTAAGTAGTTTTTGGTCCTTGAAGGTTGGACTGCGTCTTTCCTGTGGTTTAAGGCCATATATCAACCTTACTATCCGCTTTTGGATGATGAATACTCTACCCACGCCAACAGCTTGTCCCCATAGAATGATATTATAAGACGACACGATGTGATGGTAGGCTAGGGCATAGTGCGTGTCTTTCGACGACTTGTCTAAGCTTGAGTAGGGCAAAATATAACGATAGTTGCAAGGCAATATGTATAGAAAACTTTTCTTGAAAAGTTTCGTATAATCCTAATTATTAACCTTATATAAATACTAAATAGTCTTCACATTTTTAGGTGTTACAAATGTAACAGCAAACATAAGACAAAATCGTCAATAAGACAACATGTATACACTCATTTCAGTTTTGAAGAGTTGCAATTCTTTCAAAAAAACGAGTGTTCTATATGTGGTGTTGTTTTGAGAACTAAGGATAGTTTAAACCGTCACATTAGATTCGTACATAATAAGGAAAAGTTGTATTGTAAAAAATGCAATTTCTCAACTATTGCAAAGTGTTCATTGGAACATCACATACAAGGTATGATTTACGGCATTTAGTTTTCCCAGGTTTATGTTTTTGTATTATTATTTTTAGTGACACATACTGAATCTACAGATCTTCAAACATACCATTGCCAACATTGCAATTATAAAACCAAGTTCATGACTCGTTTAAAGGCACATACAAGAATTCACCATGTAAATCCAAAGTAGGTATAAATCAAATTTCTTAGATTTCTATTAGTTCAATTATTATAAATCAATTTTTTAGGATAATTTGCGAAATATGCGGATACAAATGTAAAACTCAAATGCAAATGAGACTGCATCAAATCACTCATCAAAAAAAAATTAACGAAAAGGATTTGAAATATCAATGCAATAAGTGCAATTATAGAACTTACAGGGGATCCAACTTGGCTGTAAGTACTCACCCTAATTATTCTAGAATTGATATTAGAAATACAACCGTTGAAGTCGTTGAAGATTAAGTTTTGAATTTTATTTTCTAGTTTCTACAATTATTCAAAAAAAAGTTTCATCATATTGATCAAACATCGACTTAGAAAATAGAATCCTATTCTATTTCTAACTAGAGGTATTATTGATTTGATTGATTTTAGGTTCATAAACTAAACCATCTGAAACCGAGTAAAATCAAATATTTTTATTGTTACCACTGTGATTTCAAAGGGAATCGCAAAGACAATCTTAAAAAACACATTCAAAGGCATTTTGAAAAAGAGGTGGTGACCTTATGGTGCTATATATGTGATTTTTCTACGAAAAGAAGAAACTTGCTCAGTGAACATCTTGGCGTGAAACATAAGAAAGGAAAGAAGCCAAAAATAGATGATATTTAACTTTTAACTTTTTATATACATAGTACATATATTATGAATCTTAAAATTTTATTGAATGTTTACAAAATTTATAAGGGATTTATACACTTTCTTGAGGCAAATACATAAACCTCTTTTTTGCTAGTTTGGTTTTTTGACTGAGGTTTCAGGAATTTTTATTTCTCCAAAAGCTCTGTCAAACTAGCAAAAAAAATTCCTTCAACTGCCTTAAGAAAGTGACTGAATACCCAATAAATTATTTAGATATATATACGTTATTATGTACACATATACATATATCTTTTACAAAGAAATATTTATTTATAATAACTTAGTAAGGCTTCAGTCTATGTGGAGGGTTTGAAGCTAAAAGCTGTACCGGACTGTGGCTGTACCTATACCAAAACACAAAGTGCTTATTTTGCAAATATCTTGTTTATATGCACATTATTCTTTTATATAAAAATAAATGTTTTTGTTAATAATTGTACCTTACATTGAATTTTATATTTATATAATGATGGGAAAGCTACTGCAGCAGTATTCTGTGACTTCTCAAAGGCATTTGACTGTGTTAGTTACAGGATACTGCTACAGAAGTTATAGGTGTATGGTTTTGGGGGAAATGTCTTGAGATGGTTTCACTCGTTTGTAACTAACAGAACACAAAGTGTCTTAGCAAACAGCAAAAGTTCCTCTGAACAATTTATTGACTTTGATGTACCACAAGGCTCAGTTTTAGGTCCAATTTTATTCCTTATTTATATCAATGATCTTTTGCACCTTGATATATCTGAAGTTATTGCTGCTTTTGCCGACGTTGCCAGAAACCTGGCACAAAAAAGACACTGTAGATCTAATCGAGATTATATCTAGAGACGTTGGATTAATTAAGCACTGGTGTGGTACTTGGATTCCGGTTTTACATAGATGATATAGCATTTGACCAATTTTTCATCAAAAGTACTCTGTCTACCAAATATCTTGGCCTACACTCTACACATAGATGCCGACCTAAAGTTTCAAAATCACATAATCTCCCTTAACAAAAAATTAGCATCTAGTTGTTATTTCATCAGGACAGTGGCTGAAAACCTATGTACCTACATCCAAAGACACTTCAAAAACGCGCCATCTGTTATATGACCAAGGCTTCTCTTAGATCCCTCTGCTCATTGCTCATAAAATACTTACCTTACCTTGCTCATTTATCGTGGAGACAGTAAATCTAATCCACAAAAACATTTCCATATTTCCTGCACATCAAGCCAATCGGCCTACTCGACAAAATACTAATATATCTCTTCCGATTCCTCATTCAACTCGTTAATAAATCCATGATAGCAACAACAATAATCTTTCAAGCAAATCTCTGAGCTCTTCAAGTTCAGAAAAACAGTTACAGAAGCAATGCTGATTTTATTCAATTGACGAGTAGGTACCTACTTTAATGTTTCCTTCTAAAAAAAACGCATAAATAGGCAGTCCTTCTCATCATGATTCACAAATAAAGCTGATTCTGATCAACAGTGACTCTTTTGCACTTTTCTTTGTTGTCTTCAAAATTCTTAATTTTATTTGGAACCTACACACAATTTTTATTATTACTCTGTGTCGAAGTTTGTGTAGTATTTAATGTCTGTTTTAATGCGTTCTAATGTTTTTATATGTTTCTGTTCATTGCTTGTTTTTATGATTTGACTGACGTTTTACTACAGGGTGTCCTTAGATAAACTGACACATTTTGCAGGTAAATATCTCGAAAACGAGAAAAGATAACGGGATGCGGTTTGTTTTGGCAGAATAAGGATTTTTCAAAGTTTTTTTTCATGGCATTGACAAATCCTGAAATTTGGTTTTACAGACATTCGATTTTTTGAAATAATTACATACTGCCTTATTCTTGATGAAACACCCGGTATATTTTGTCATCGGCAGAAAGCGTGACTTTTCTACTTTACAAAAATGTATAATTTTTTTCAATTATCTCGAAATTGGATCGTAAAAATTGCACTTTGTTAAAGAGTGTACCATCGACTGGCCAAAAAAATAATAATAATTAATTTATGTTTTATATGCACTTGCATTATTAGTTTATTTGTGTTTAATAATTGTATTATTAATCAATTATGCGCTAATTAGTTAATAAAAGTATCAAACACAACTTAATCATCAATTTTTTTTTTGGTTAGTCGATTGTTCTCTTCGACAAAGTGCAATTTTTACGATGAAAGTTCAAGATAATTTGAAAAAATTATACATTTTGGTAAAGTAGAAAAAACAGGCTTTCTGACGATGACAAAATATACAGGGTGTTTCATTAAAAATAAGGCAGTCATTTTATTTCAAAAAATCGCATGTCTGTGAAACCAAATTTCAGCAAATTTTAGGATTCGGCAATAATGTGAAAAAAAACTTTAAAAATTCCTTATTCTCCCAGAACAAACCGCATGTAGTTATCTTTTCCCGTTTTCGAGATATTCACCTGCAAAATGTGTCAGTTTATCTAAGGACACCCTGTATTGTGCAGAGCTTTTGTGTGTTTTTTTTAATAATAATGGTGATTGTTCTATTCTTACCAAATGCTAAAACAACCAAAAATTTACAAACCAAAAAATTTACAATCTACTACCACATAGTAATATTAGATAATAGTTTATATTGTAATATTTTATTTTATGTACCTACCTTACTTTTAATGTCTAGGTTAACTAGGTATACCAAGCCTTTTTTTATAATAGATTTATTTATACCCATGCACTTATTTGGTACTTAGAATTAAGGTTGTATATAGCTTTGTCAATAAGTTTATTGTGACTTGGACAATACAGCATGTTTTCTTTCTTTCTTTCTTTTTGGATATTTTTAAATATACCTACAATTATTACTTTTTTATATAAACTATTACTTTGTTTTATTTTGTCTCTTGTGCTCATAATTCTTAACGTACACTTCCATTATAAGAATTAACCATTAAAAAAAAAAACACTACAAAACATATCCACCCTTTTATGAATAATGACTTAAAGCAGGATGAGGCAGTGACAAGTACAGAGGCTCAGCCTTTTCTAGAAATCACTTCAAAGATTTTATTGGGGAGTCCCTTAAGCGAGTTGAAGGCAAGTTGTGGAATGGATACTGTTGGGGTGTATGTTGGTACTGAGGCAAAAGCTGGTTCGTCTCAAACATGTGATGTCAGTTGCTATGACAAGGATATCGTAGTCCGGGGGTCAAAGCAATTCAATTTAGATATCTATTGTTAGCCCAGCGGTTCTGAGTTTACGGAAGGAATTCGGACGTAAATGTGCGGTGCTGCCACGTTTAATTATAAAAAAGCGAAAATACTAGGCATGAGGTATAAAGTCTGTTTTTTTAAGATAATTCCCCAAGTCAAAAAATTTAGTAGCTATGTTGGCAACAAAAGCCTTTTCTACATAAAAAATTTGAAAGCATTGACAATTTTACATTGTATTACCAATATAATGTGATTTTGACATGTATCTTTAAAAAAAAAAACAGACTAGTTCATTCGAAAATCCATTTTTCAATAACAAAATGTAGATAACAATGAAACGCTGAATATTTCAACGTGGTTGTTAGATCTATGCTTATTTTAATAACTGATTTCTTCAATTTTGTCTATTGTAAAAAATAAACATTTCCTAAAGAAGTAGGTACATCATTCAATTCGAATTCGTTCAAGTTATGCATTCCCAATTCTTTGGTTGAAGACGTAACTGAAACTGATGAACAGCAAGAGAAAATCAAACTATACCATGAGACTAAAACATCTCATCGCGGAGTTACAGAAAATGTTTCATCTTCAAAGAAACGATATTATTGGCCTAATCTAGAAAAAGACATACAAGCATACCTATATCAAAACACGTGAAATTTAAAATAAGACAAAATTCGAAAGGCAACCTTATAAATTAATATTCAAACCAACTCCAATCGGTTCAAAACCCTTCGAACACTTTTATATTGATACATGCGTAGTTTCGAATCAAAAATTCCTAACTATTATTGACAGCTTTTCGAAGTTTGCACAAGCTATCCCAATTATTAACAAAACTCTAGTTGTGATTTCATCACAATTAATAAGATATTTCAGTGACCATGGAATTCCACAAAGAATTACATCCGATAACGGAACTGAATTTGAAAATGCAATTGTAACAGATTTATGTACTTTACATAAAATCGAATTTCATTACACGACACCTCGAAACCCTAATTCTAATAGTCCAGTAGAAAGACTACATTCTACCCTGAGAGAAAGTTTAACAAGCTTGAAATTACAAAGCCCTAATAAAAATATGAATGACATGGTAATTTGCAATCTTGAATTATAACAGCATACATAGTGTTACAGGTTATGCACCTTTTCAAATAATTAAAGGCGATTTAAATTATTCAATACCTATTGAAAATTCACAAAATAAGATAACCACAGATTATATCAATAATCTTGCCGAATCATTGGAAACTCTAAATAATGTAATTCATGACAAATTAATTTCAAAACAAACACAAAATTTAGAGAAAATTAATAAAGAACGTGAAAAGGAACCTGAAATAAAAGATCCTATATTCATTAAGCATTCTGACAGAAATAAAATTAGTCCTCGATATGGTGCTAAAACACAAGTCAGATTTAGTAAACTAGTGGTGAAGCGACAATATTTTGTTTCAGAAAAACCAAAATGTTCCCGGCGGCTTTCATCATCATCCTCCTCATAAGAATTTCCATTTTAAAGTAACGCCTACACGTTAACTCCATTAGGAAATCCTATTTTACCGATTTCTATAGGAACCACTTACATCACAACACAACCATAACACTGCATGTTATCACATTAATACTACCCTTATTAGAAATAGTATTAAAACTCTCGAAATAACTTTAAAGCCTTTAAACAATACTTTAATTCTAACCAAATGGTCTAATAAAGACACAATTGTTACTTTATTACAAGTAAATATTGAAACTAGTCAATCACGTATCAATACCTTAATGAAATTTGTAAAACAATTTTCACACGATCGAATAAAGCGTGGAGTATTCAATTTCACAGGTACAGCACAGAAATGGCTGTATGGTACATTAGACGCAAATGACGGCGATAGACATGATTCTTACATTCGAACATTAAATGAGAATCAGCAAACTATCGATAAAAATCTAAAAGATCAAACGAACGTACTTAAACAAGTAACGAAAACCATGATCAATTTTTGAATATCGAAAATAATCAGATAATAATTTCAGAAAAGATAAAAAATATTTCGACAGATAATCAAAATATTCAAACTTAATCTTAATGATGAATCTAATTTTAGAAAATATTAATATGCATAGTAGTAAACTACGCGAGATAATTAGCCACATGCAAAATGCTATCAGTTTTGCACGCATAGGCATAATGCTTAGATTAATGCACTATACGATTCTGCAGCATAATGAATTAAATTTGATTTTGAAAAATATACCTGCCAGACAACAAATACCGTTGGATAAAGTAATTAAATACTATGCGACAATGTCCTCTCATGTAATAATTCAAAAGGAATTAATTATTTTTATTTGTCGCTCATTTGTAAAACGTCATTTATCAAGTCAAAACATAAACAACGAAAATTGATTTTTACCAGTTACTGGCTCTACTGACTTGTAAAATTGACAGCTAAACTGTAATAGTATATTACATACCGAGTAGGGAAGTGTTTCATTACTGTCGAGAGATTTATATAGTCAATCGAGACGCGAAGCGTCGAGATTGACTATTAATCTCGAGACAGAAATGAAAACTTTCCTCCGAGGTTTGTATACTATTTTATTTGCAAGCACACAATTAATTATGATTAGTCAATAATTTTTTTTAATAATAAAAAAATAAAACAAACATGCCAAAATGTGTCATTCACTGCTTTGACGTTTTTACCTGACATGTTCTCATTGTTGCCAGCAGAGGTAAATAAATTAGAGTGAGGGAAATAGTTTTTATTTGCAACCATATATGTAATCTCGACATTACTGACTTTTTAAAAATTTGAAAGTGACACTTTACCTGTGTCACTTCCCTCTTCGATTTTCCTCACCGATTTCCCTATTCGACTACCCTCACCGATTTCCCTCACTGTAATTTATTTACCTTTGCTGGCAACAATGAGAACATGTCAGGTAAAAACGTCAAAACAGGTGAATGACATATTTTGGCATGTTTGTTTTATTTTTTTAATATTAAAAATATTGAATGACTAATCATAATTAATGGTGTGCTTGTAAATAAAATAGTATACAAACCTCGGAGGAAAGTTTTCATTTCTAATGAAACACTTCCCTACTCGGTATGTAATATACTATTAATTGCAATCATATATGTAATCTTGTCATTACTGACTTTTTAAAAATTTGGAAATAACACTTTACCTGTGTCACTTCCCTCTTCGATTTCCCTCATCGATTTCCCTATTCGACTTCCCTCACCTATTTCCCTCACTCTAATTTATTTACCTCTGCTGGCAACAACGAGAACATGTGTGGTAAAAACGTCAAAGCAGTGAATGACACATTTTGGCATGTTTGTTTTATTTTTTTATTATTAAAAAAAATGATTGACTAATCATAATTAATTGTGTGCTTATGCAAATAAAATAGTATACAAACCTCGGAGGAAAGTTTTCATTTCTGTCTCGAGATTAATAGTCAATC